GCCCAAGTCATATCAGCGGCCGCTGCCGCTGCAGTTCCGTTTGCTCTCCCCGCGCCGCGCGGAGACTGGGGGCCCCATCGCGCGCGCTTGCGTGGCGCTGCTTGGGGAGAGAGAGCCTTGTCTACCCAGACCCCCGACGTCATGATTTTTCCATGACGCGACCCCCAGAGGTCTAGACCCATTCCCCAGAGCCGTTTTTTCATCTTGAGTGGTTTTTTGAGGGTCCTGAGGGCCGGGAAGGGCCCCCGGAGGTTGAAAATAGAGAAAAACGTCCAGTCGTGATTTTTTCATGACTCGAGGGGGTCTGGGTATCCAGTCCAACAGTGGCTCGCTGGCCCCCTCTCTCCCAGAAGTACCGCTCGCCCTCGCGCAGCACTGCCGCGCCTCGTCGCAAGAGGTTTAAGTCGTGGCCTGTCCCTCTACAAGGGGACTATCAAAAATAGTACCAAAGTAGTCCTGGGATCATTATTTGGCCATGTTTGACCATTTTGGGTTCTTGTTCTTTCGAGCATCTGTTTGTTAATTGTTCTTTCAAGATCCTCCTCCAAGGGGGACAGGCCCGACCCAACCCGCAAGGTCTGGCTCCGCGCCCACCTCCCCCGCCCAATTCCAGCGCTGCCGCGGCAACACCGGCGCCGCACTAGGCAGGGAAAAACTCCGCGCGGCGCGCCCCGGCGGCCGCCCCCCCCTCCTGGGGGGGCTCTGTGGGGGGGGGGGGGGGGCGCGGAGCAAAGTGGGACATCGCAGCTTCGCCAGCGCGCAGCATTGCACTCGTCGCTCGCAGTTCCTTCTTCCTCAAGCAGTGGCGAAGCGTCCCGGCGTGCCTCTAGGCCTACCAAAGAGTGTTCTAAGAACCTTTTGTGGTTTCCACGAAGTGTTCTTAGAACATGTCTGGCTGGGACTGTCTTGTTTAACATATCGGACTTCTGTTATCATTTACAAGAACATTTGTTTCGTTATTAGAGCATGTTGGGGTTCTAAGAACATCTTGTCGTAGGCTTATAGGAATGCCGGGACGGTCGGCTCCTGCTCAATTTCAGAGGCGCCTGATCGCGCGGGGCGCCTCCTCATCCCCCTTCGCGCCCAGAGCTCGCCGCCCGCTGGCTCATTCTCACCTAGGCTTTCAGGCACGCGCGCCCTAGGTGGAGGCGGGGCACGCTTAAGACCCTCCGCGGTGGGTGGACCGCGACCCACCGCGCGCGCGTGCTCGTGCGCAGCGCAGGTGTGTTTCGGATGCCCGTTCATCCCGCCACTACTTGTCTTGCCCTGTTCTCGCGATGAGCCGCTTGCGCCTTTCATCCCTGCAGTGAAATAGAGCAAACTGCCAATCCGACGCTGGACGCGGTAGCGTCCACACTCAGTGCGGTCCGTGCTTTCAGTTTCGCGCGGATCGCCTTAGCTCATTTGAAATGTGCCCGGGGTTTTTGGGGCAGTTTTCCTGGCAAAGGAACCAGGCGTACGCAGCTGCGAAGTTATCGCGCGCATGTGGAGGCCCTCGGCCGCTGAGGCCTCTTGGTGGAGCTCCCTATATGGCAACGAGACGCGTGACGGGTGTGTCGATTCGGGTACGGGTGCACTGTGTGGACGCTGCTGCTGCTGGGGCCCTCGGCGGCACTCCTGGCGGGGCCACGAAACTTGTCAGCGGTGTGCCGAACTGGGTGCGGGCACGCCAGGCGGACGCTGCCGCTGGGGCTTGCGGTGGATCGCCCTATGGGGCCACGAAGCGTGTGACGGGTGTGCCGATTTGGGTGCGGGTACACCATGCGGACGCTGCCGCTGAATCCTGCGGTGGAGCTCCTTGTGGGGCCGCGAAGCGTGTGAGAGGTGTGGCGAACTGGGTGCGGGTACGCCATGCGGACGCTGCTGCTGGGGCCTGCGGTGGGGCTTCTATAGGACGCGAAGCGTGTGACGGGTGCGTCGATTTGGGTGCGGGTGCACTGTGCGGACCTTGCCGCTGGGGCTTTCGGCGGGATTCCTTGTGGGGCCACGAAGCGTGTGAGGGATGTGCCGAACCGGGTGCGGGTACGCCATGCCGGCGCTGCCGCTGGGGCCTTCGGTGTGGCTCCCTTCGTGGCAACGAAACCTGTGAGGGGTGTGCCGAAGTGCGCGCGGGTACGACAATCGGACGTTGCCGCTGGAGTCGTGGGCAGAGCTCCCTATGGGGGTGCGAAGCTTGTGGGGGGTGTGCCGAAATTGTAGTCGTGCGGAGGACGAGGCAGGGATAGGAGGAGGGAGGGGGGGGAATGAGGAGGAGAGGAGGAACGCGGGTGCCGTCCATGGTCGGAACCCTCCGTTTCGCACCGGTGTCAGAGTGGTGTCAGAGAGCAGCTCTGCGCACGGAGACCCGTCTCAACATCCACCCCATGTATGGATGCTCCGGCGAAACAAACAACGCAAAAGAACGATTCCATACACAGGAAACACCTACTCGTTTTTTAACGTCTTCGGCAGGGCAAGAAGAACACGCCCAAAACGCCCAGGGCGGCTTTTCATATTATGTGTCCAAACTAATCGTACGTTGTGCTGCCCGCCTAGCGGCTAAATTCGCATCGGTGGCGCTGGGCGGTTCGGAGACACGCGTCGGCCACGGGTTACTGCCACTCCTCCCGAGCCCCTTCACCTCACCCTTCTTCTCTTTTCGCCGTCGATGCAGCCGTACGGTCGTGACGCTGAAGCAAGGACCATTTTGGGTTCAGTTGGGCCTCTGGTATTCGGCCGCTCCGCATGGCTAGCTCGGGGAACCGTTTAGTGGCCGAGGCGCGCTGTGGCGTTCCTTAGCCACCATTCGGGATGGCAGCGCGATAGTTTTACCACTTCCCCCCCCTTTCTATCCTTAAGTCGGGCCTGTCCCTGTTCAGGAGGAATGCTCACACATGGTCGTACAATAGTCTCGGGACGAGTTGTTGAATATGTGTGTTGCTATTTGCGGGCATTTTTCTCATATTTTCACACTGTCGCCCCAAAGTCTGCCTGTAGGGTCGCAGGCCTCGAGATTGTCACCAACACCAATTTCGGCGGTGTGCCTCCACCAGGGGAAGAAGATCCCGATCTCGGTGATGGTGGTAATATTCTGGCTTCCAAGGTGGCCGGACTATTACCCCCAACACCGAAAATCTAGGATCATCTTCCCCCTGTGGAGGCAACCCCCTGTGTTGGTGTTGGTGCCCATTTCCAGTCCTCCAATAGGGGGACGTGCCCGACCCAATTCTATCCTCATCCTCCTGCCCAGCGCGCGGCAGGCCCTGCCCCCCCCCCCTTTCTATCCTCATCCTCCCTGTCTGGCGCGCGGCAGGCTGCCGCTGCCGCAGTGGTGGCCGGCGCGGTGCTCGCCGACGGCGCCGCTCTCTTCCTGATGGCCCCGGTGGCGGCGGCGGGCGAGCCTTCCCTCATGAGGCCCGCCTGAGGCGCCAGGTGCCCCCGAGGCTCGAGGAATCGGAGGCGACGACAGGGGCGAATAGCCCACGGGGGGAGCAATTCAAGTATCCAGAGGCGCCGATGGTACATGCCTTCGGTGAGGCTCACGGGCGAAAACGTGTAACGCCCGCCCCATCGGCTATTCGCCCCTATCGTCGCCCCCGAAGGAAGCAGGAGACTGCCAGGAAACTGGATGCATGGTTCGGGGTCCGCACCGGCAAGCATCCTGGATTGTGTTCTTGCGTTTCCACTCCGTCACGCCTCGACGTCTGCGGCGAGAGCGCCGTGTTTTTTCTCTGATGAGCGGCTATCAAGTGTCGACGAGATCTCCAGCGAGGGAGTTTTCGTGTGTCACGGGGCGGGGGCCTGTTGATCAGGGCTAGCGTCCAATTAGGGTTAAGTCGGCATGTCCCTTGACAGGAGGAATACTCAATAATAGTAAATAGATACTCTGGTGACGGTTGCTCGTGCTCCTTCGACTATGTTTGATCATTATGTGATTATTGTTCATTTGTCTTGCAAAATTCGCCTGTATGAAGGACATGCCTGACCTGAAATTCGGGGGGTCCGTCCAGAAAGGGGTCTCGCTTTCGGCGCGCCTACGCTGAAGGCGGGACGCATGCGGGCTCGCGGCGGTCGCAAGAGGGCAACGACTCCGCTGGCGGAACGCGGCACAGGTACCAGTGAGGCGTCGGCACTTTTGGGAGCAGAGTTTCGGAGGCGTCCACGTGCTCAGAGCCCTGAGCGATCAGGGCAGGGGGCGGTCAGGGACAATTGCTGGTTCGGGCTTCCCTCTGTGGCACCAGGAGTTTTGTTCCCGGGTCTGCACGTCGGCTCAGTTTTTCAAGGAGCACATTTGCGGCGTGGAGACATGGTCCAGTGCTCCTTGGCACAAGAGCCATGCCAGATCAGCGGTCCATGGGTCTTCGGCCCCAAGCAAGGCAGCACCCTGGCCAGGCTTGTGCTTGCCCAACATGACGCAGCCGATCTGGATGAGCATGTTTCTTTCTTGCTTTGGGCATCACGGGCGTTATAGCCCCCAGCCCCCGGCCCCTCCCCTATAACGTAACGCCCCCGCCCCCACCCCCACCCCCACTGCGCCCCATGCACTGCCGCCGTACGCATCGGGATCCGCATTGGCGTCCGCATAGGGACCCGCATAGGGGTCTGGTCCGCAGTCGTCGCCGTCGCCGTTGTCGTCGTCGTCGTCGTCGCTCGTCGTTCGTCGATCTTCGCGCGTCGCTCCTCCTCGTATTGCGCGCGGGCGCAGTTGACGGCCGTCATCTGGGGGTGGGACGGGGCCGAAGACGTCGCGTTTCGTGCCGGCGGCGTCTGTGAATGCTTCGGAATGACCGAGGACGGGTAGGTGGCGATCCGCACCATAGTGCCTGTGTGCACCACAGTGCCCTCGTGCACCATAGCGCTTGTGTACACCACACACCCTACGTAAATTACAGAAGCCACGTGCAACACAGCACCAGTGTGTGCCACAGAGCCTGCGGGCACCACAGCGCCTGTGTACATCACAACACCTGCGTACACAACATCAGCTGCGTACACCACAACACCAGTGTACACCACAATACACGCGTGCACTACAACGCCTGTGTACGCCACGGCGCCTGTGTGCACCACAGCGCCGTGTGCAACAGCGCACATTTGTTGCATATATAGGATGGCGGAGGAATCCTTATGACAGAATGAAGCGCCAGCCTTGTTATGGAAAAGAGAGCGCCGCTGGAATTTACGAGTCCTTAACTCCTCCCATCTGCGTCCAGAAAGCTCCAGCAGAATTGGCCATCCGACAACCAAGTGGACTGATTCAATACACCATTCTGCCGTGCGCGCTGAGATGCGCACGTGCGTTGTGTAGCGCCGACCTGGCTGGACGACAAGGGGGGAAGGGCGAGGGAGGAGGGGGAGGAGGAGGAGGAGGAGGAAGAGGAGGAGGAGGATGAGGAGGAGGAGAAAGGAGGAGGAGGGGTAGGGGGGGGGAGGAGGACGTGGAGGTGGAGGTGGACGGGGAGGAGGAGGGAGGAAGGAAGAACGCTCCATTCCATTATCAACATGTCGCTGGCGTGGCTAGCTGTCCGCAGCAGATCTTCATGTACATGCTCCATCTACCTGTCCTGTGTTCGCAAGCGCTGCGGTGTACGCCAGCGCTGCGTTAATTACACGCGGATCCTGTGCTGTGGACAGGCGCCGTGGTGTGCACAGGCGCTATGGTGCACGCAAGCACTATGTGTACACAGGCGCTGTTGTGCACGCAAGCACTGTGGTGTACACAGCCGCTGCGTTGCACACGGCAGTGGCGGTGTACACAGGCGCAGGCGCTGCGGGGCAGATCGCCACCTACATGCTGCACCTACTTGGCCTTGGTCATACCTACGCATGCTTGGACGCCGCCGGCGCGGAACGTGACGCCATCTGGGAGGGGGGAGGGCGGGGCCAATGACGGCCGCTATCTCGGAACAACCAAAAAAGCAGGTTCTTGTGGTGCCAGAGCCACACAGCGGGGTGGAGGGGGGCGTTACGTTATACCCCCGCCGCCCCCCCCATATAACGCCCATTATCGCCGAAAATACAGAAGCGCGTTCGGTGACAGTTGGTTACACATGGGGCGTCCCGGAAAGGGCTTCGCCTTCGAGGATCGAAAGAGTTGGCATCCACTCTTCGGCAGAGAGCGGCGGAGGGTCGGCGGAAGGTGGCGGGAGTAAAACGAGGCGACCTCCGCCAGCGGAAACTAGCGGATGTCAACGTTTTGGATTCGAAGTTCCTGGAATCGTTTTTGGATTCGCCAGCGGAGGCCAACCTCCGCCAGCGGAAAATTCGCCCCCAAGAGATGTCAACGTTTTTGGATTCGAAGTTCCTGGAATCCGCAACCTGTGGCCAGGTGTCTGTCCAGATCTGGGATTTTGTATGGCCGTGCAGGCCTGGCTTCCACGCGCATCCAGCCGAGGCCCCCGGATGTCCCGCGTGCGGGTCCAGCTTGGTGTGGTCCCAGCTTCCTGGTACACAGGCACAGAAGTTCGGAGGGCCGCGCGGATTCCCCAGCGGCGCTGGACCCCCTCCCCACCCCCGCTGGTCCAAACATTGCCAGGAGGGATCACCACTATAGACTATAGGGGTCGCCACCTCCTCTTGGAAAGCGAGGTCGGCGTCTTCGGGAGTCTTGGGGAGTCGGGGGGGTCATGGAAATCACGATGGAGCAGCTCCATGGGGCCCCTAGTGAGGGTCCCGCCCCCCAGAACCGTCAAAAAGCAGCGCGGGATGTGAGACCTGTCCCGGGAAGTGTTCGAGACCTCTGGGCCGAGGTCCACGGCGCAAACATACACGACGTCAGATGTCTGGGTGTTACGCCTCAGGTCCCGACATTTGTTGCGACAAGGCTACGGTTACTGATTTGTCAGGGGCGGCCAAACTTTACCTTGGTATGGGCCCCAAGGCTTCCTCCAGCTTTTGCTTACGCGGTTGGATTTGGCTCCCGCGGCTCCCTGCAGCCGCGCACCAAAGGTTATTTTTCTTGCCGAGGGTTGAGGGTCCTCATTGTGTGTCGCCGAGACAGCCCTGGTGCCCCCCCTGGGTGTGGGGGGGTCCAGTGCCAACTCGAGACACCCGTGCGCACCTCCGAAGATGTACAGTTGTTTTACCCTTTGTGTCGTTCCTCGTCTGAGGCGCCACTGGTTTTCGAGGCGCTGGCGGCCGTGCCTCGTTCTACGCGTCATGCACTGGCGGCTTCAACAGTTTCGAGAGGAGGCCAAGCGCGCCGAAAAAGAGAGCTGCATTTTCGCGTCGATATGCAGCGTGTTGCGTCTCTCCGTGCTTCCCGATTGTCACTGGCAGTGTGTTCCCCCTCGTACCTACTCACTTCACCAATGCAGCATACCAGTTAAGACATGCCAGGGTGGGCCATCAGGCGGCAGTGCCTTGGGCAGTGATGTGTACAGCTGTACGTCGAGTCTGCCCACGATTGTTCCTCATAGTGATCATTTCCCGTCGGCACCGCCACTAGCAGTGCGTTCGCTAGTCATCGCCACCCGTCCTCGTCAACTCACTTCTCTGCCGATCCCTTGGTCAGCAGGGCAGGCATTGCCAAACCCCGTCCGTTGATCCGCTTGTATTTCATTTCATGGTCATCGCTTCCACAGGCCCTGCACTTGCGGCCATCACTCCCTTCTCTTCGTCCTTATTGTTCTTCTTGCCAGCTTCACCCTCCTCCTCATATGGTCGGGCTTCTGTGTGCCAGGGGGTGCGAGGTCTTGACCGAATACCCTCATCCAGCCACTTTGTTTTCTCGCCAGTGCGCCCATCGACAGACCGATGCATTTTCACCACCTGCCGAATTCCCGCTGGAAAGCTGAGGTTCTGTGGAGTGTCCCTCGGAGGAGGTCAGCCAGCTTTGCTTTCGGTTTGCGGCTTGTCGTGCCATCCACTCTCGCACTCACAGTTTGTACATTGCTTGCGGTGTTGCTTCCCAGACGCTGCATAAACAAAGCTGGCGAGCGGGAGAAGCAGTGGTGTATTGAGCTCTTTCAAGTTGCGTTATGTTATGCGCGATCATATAGATACAGCAGTGCACTGCCCCGGACGGGTCCCTCATCATGGGGCGGCCGGAATCGCGGAAGCGCCCTCGGAACATGGCAGAGCAATCGCCGCATCTTTGCCGCCAATCTTGGAATCTCGATTTGGCCATCCCCACGCCGTGTTTGGTGGCTCGCTCTCACGCATTCTAACATGCGCTCAAAGCCCAGTGCAGCACACGTAGATGATTCGCACAACCGCAAGTTACGTGAACGACTTCGAGAACTTGTGGGTACTGGGTACTGCCCAGTTTGTGCACCCTTGTTTTAAGCCCTATGGATAGAAAGCTGGTGCTGATCCGAATGTGTGTGACGCGTTGCCGAAACTCATGTCGGCCGTGGGATATTGAAACTCATGTCGGCCGAAACTCACGTTGGCCGAAACTCATGTCGGCAGAAACTCATACTGAGCTTCATGGCAGCGCATAGGCGGCCTCAAGTAATGCATGTGAGTTCGCCTGCCAGCTCCGTCCAGCCATGGAGCGAATTCGCTGCCTTTTTTTTGAAATGCGTGTGGCAGACTTTGAGGTTCTGGTGTGGCTTAAATGTGATTGATGTTTGAAGCAGTTCAGGCCCATCGGTCTAGCAACAATGAGGATCACGGAAAACACCGCGCCTTCTAGGATCGGATCGTTGTGGCCAGCGAGAGGTCGTAGCTACGTAACGTGATAGTCGGTGCACGGATGAACAGACTCCTCTTCATCGCCTCGCTTGCGGGCTAGCGGGGCGCCAGGGCCTGTTTCTTCAATGCTGACCTGGTCGGAGGAGACGCTCCGCGCAGCCCGAGGGGCAGGATGCGAGAGGTGCAGGAGGGCGTTGGGGCCGCGCTGTCCTGGTCAGCCGGCGAAGCCCAGGCGCGCTGAGCGTGGCCTTCACCGCCCGCTGGGACAGCCTCCCGAGGTCCACAGGGGGGGCCGGGAGACTCTGCTGCCTCCTCCTCCCGGGCTCCCCGCGCCCAGGCCTCTTCTCGTCGCGAGGAAGACTCACAGCGGGATGCCTCTGACCTTTCACAGTTTTCGACCTTCAGGGGCCCGTGCGGGGCGCCGGAGCTGCCAGCAGACGGCCCAGACTGGACCCGGGGAAGCGGTCCAGACCTCTGCGTGTCCACGTTGTGAGACGATCGCGAGGTTGGAGGTTCGCTCAAGAGTTGATCGCTATCCCGAAACAGATCCCTGTCCCCATGATCGGCAGCGCCTTGTCTCTGTGCCGACCGCATGGGTTCTCGTAGTTTCTGAGGGGTCATCCCTAAGATTGTCATCACATCTGGGCTTGTTAATCTGAAGAGTAGGGATATGATTGGTGACGATGTTTCGTGCTCCCTCGGCTATGCTTGGTTGTTGTTTTAAAGGTTCTTTGGTTTTACTTCCAAAACCCCCCTGTAGGAGGACGTGCCCGACCCAAGGCCATGGGAGGGGAGGGGCAGGGACGGGCAGGGGAGAGTGAGTTCGCAGAGGGAGAAGGCAGGCGAGTGGCATGCTGCGGGGCAGGGGAGGTGGTGGCGTTGGTATGGTCTGACGAGCTCTGCTCGAAGCCGCGTTGCCGTGGTGTTGTTGGCCTGCTTTGTTGTCGTAGCCGAGCGGCGGGGCCGGCCGCGCCACTTGCTCGGGGAGCGTTCTGACCCCTGAGCCGCCCGCCCTGTCCCTGGTTTCCTTCGGCCGCGTCCCTCCTCCCTCATCCTCCTAAATAGTGGCACCATTCGCACAACCCGTTCATGCCTTTATCGCCAGCGCAGTCACCTTCTGCCTAGCCGATGACGCTAAAAAAATGTGTTGTCGTAGCTTTCCTAACAAGGTCGAGTGTTCCGCGTTATTGGGACGCGGCCGCGATCATCTAGGCCCAGGTCTTCAACGTCCTTTCCGTTGACCCCGTCCTGCAGTGACAACTCCGGGTCAGCCACATTGGAACGTGGAAGCGGACGGGCCGTTAGGCGTTGTGTTCACCGTGCCAGCGCCCGCCACGGCATTAACACAGCTACCTGAGAAAAGATGTCGTAAGTCATGCCTCTGCAACCAGGGTGTTTTTTCCCAACCATCCTGTGGTGTTGGGTCCTCGTTTTGAAGAGACGGTGCCCCGCGTCTCCTCCTCTCCTCCTCCTCCGCTGCCGTCCGCATGCGTCCCGCACACCCATTTCGGCACACCCCTCACACGCTTCGTGGCCCCATAAGGAGCTCCACCGAAGGCCCCATGGCTGCCGTCCGCATGCGTCCCGCGCACCCATTTCGGCACACCCCTCACACGTTTCGTGGCCCCACAGGCACACCCCTCACACGTTTCGTGGCCCCAGCTCCACCGAAGGCCCCATGGCTGCCGTCCGCATGCGTCCCGCACACCCATTTCGGCACACCCCTCACACGTTTCGTGGCCCCACAGGGAGCTCCACCGAAGGCCCCAGTGCTGCCGTCCGCATGCGTCCCGCACACCCATTTCGGCACACCCCTCACACGTTTCGTGGCCCCATAGGGAGCTCCACCGAAGGCCCCATGGCTGCCGTCCGCATGCGTCCCGCACACCCATTTCGGCACACCCCTCACACGTTTCGTGGCCCCACAGGGAGCTCCACCGAAGGCCCCAGTGCTGCCGTCCGCATGCGTCCCGCACACCCATTTCGGCACACCCCTCACACGTTTCGTGGCCCCATAGGGAGCTCCACCGAAGGCCCCATGCAGGGGTTCCGAAATTTCGGGACTCCACCGAAGGCCCCATGGCTGCCGTCCGCATGCGTCCCGCACACCCATTTCGGCACACCCCTCACACGTTTCGTGGCCCCACAGGGAGCTCCACCGAAGGCCCCAGTGCTGCCGTCCGCATGCGTCCCGCACACCCATTTCGGCACACCCCTCACACGTTTCGTGGCCCCACAGGGAGCTCCACCGAAGGCCCCAGTGCTGCCGTCCGCATGCGTCCCGCACACCCATTTCGGCACACCCCTCACACGTTTCGTGGCCCCATAGGGAGCTCCACCGAAGGCCCCATGGCTGCCGTCCGCATGCGTCCCGCACACCCATTTCGGCACACCCCTCACACGTTTCGTGGCCCCACAGGGAGCTCCACCGAAGGCCCCAGTGCTGCCGTCCGCATGCGTCCCGCACACCCATTTCGGCACACCCCTCACACGTTTCGTGGCCCCATAGGGAGCTCCACCGAAGGCCCCATGGCTGCCGTCCGCATGCGTCCCGCACACCCATTTCGGCACACCCCTCACACGTTTCGTGGCCCCACAGGGAGCTCCACCGAAGGCCCCAGTGCTGCCGTCCGCATGCGTCCCGCACACCCATTTCGGCACACCCCTCACACGTTTCGTGGCCCCACAGGGAGCTCCACCGAAGGCCCCATGGCTGCCGTCCGCATGCGTCCCGCACACCCATTTCGGCACACCCCTCACACGTTTCGTGGCCCCACAGGGAGCTCCACCGAAGGCCCCATGGCTGCCGTCCGCATGCGTCCCGCACACCCATTTCGGCACACCCCTCACACGTTTCGTGGCCCCACAGGGAGCTCCACCGAAGGCCCCAGTGCTGCCGTCCGCATGCGTCCCGCACACCCATTTCGGCACACCCCTCACACGTTTCGTGGCCCCACAGGGAGCTCCACCGAAGGCCCCATGCTGCCGTCCGCATGCGTCCCGCACACCCATTTCGGCACACCCCTCACACGTTTCGTGGCCCCACAGGGAGCTCCACCGAAGGATGCGTCCCGGACAGGCCCCATGGCTGCCCCACACGCACACCCCCATTTCTCCACACACCCCACACGTTTCGTGGCCCCAGGGAGCTCCACCGAAGGCCCCATCTGCCGTCCGCATGCGTCCCGCACACCCATTTCGGCACACCCCTCACACGTTTCGTGGCCCCATAGGGAGCTCCACCGAAGGCCCCAGTGCTGCCGTCCGCATGCGTCCCGCACACCCATTTCGGCACACCCCTCACACGTTTCGTGGCCCCATAGGGAGCTCCACCGAAGGCCCCATGGCTGCCGCCGCATGCGTCCCGCACACCCATTTCGGCACACCCCTCACACGTTTCGTGGCCCCACAGGGAGCTCCACCGAAGGCCCCAGTGCTGCCGTCCGCATGCGTCCCGCACACCAGGTGTGTGGCGTGCCGACATGGGCGTCGCGGCGCGCGGGCGCTGCCGTCGGGGTTCCCAGGGAAGCCCCCTGCAGAGGCGACGCTCAGAGTCACGAGTACCGAGAGTCACGCAGACCCAAACTGTTCACAGTCGTATACATACATTTACACTGGGCGTATCCATGCACGCATTCATGCGAATAGAATCAATCGCGCGCAGATTCATTCATAATCAGACTCGCTCGCGATCCGACTCGCACGCGCTCAAGCTTTCATATTCGGACCTATCGTTTTCGTTCGTGTTGTGTACACTGCCACGCATTTCGGCACACCCCTCATACGGCTCGTGGCCCCATAGGGAGCGCCACCGAAAAAGATATTCACAATTGCGGTACTCTCAACTGCATATGGTTGGGTCCTTCGCCAGGCTAATTTATATTCTGTGCGTCAGACCCCTTGCGCGCAGCGTAAGCGCGAATGTTGTATACCGCGCGCAGTAGGCGCATGCTTTGCTGTTTTCTTCTCCAGCGCAAGTATTGAAGATACATTCGCGCGCGTTGCCCTGGGTCGACCTGCGGTCACGCGCATGTGTTCATGTTACAGCGGAACGTCCATCGGCATGGCGGCCACCCTCTGGTATGGAGAGCGCCCTCTGCATTAGTGGCGCAGTCTGCCAGTAATGCTTACGCATGAGTGGCGAAGGGCCATGCTGTGGTCTCCCTAGCAGTGCCAACAGTCCACGAATATGGCCGCGTGAATCTAGGCGCAACGATGGTGCTGGCATGTTGGGCATGATTTCGATGTAGCGACTCATGCTGAGTTAACACGTGGGCGTGTACGCATATGTTGTTTTCAACAAAAACAGTGCCCTGTGTGACCACACGCCGATCGCAGAGCAATCTGGGTGTTTTGTCGTCAGTACCATTCCCATTCATGCCTGGGTACTCTGCGCATTGCCCCGTCGCGCGCACCCTGATCCAAGGTTGGATGCACGTGTGAGTACCTTTCATCCTTGCAAGATTCAGGGTGGTTTCGACACCTTGCCGGATTTCTACTTCGGGGGATGTTCTCAATCATCCCCAGCCCGGCGCGACCAGGGGAACCTTGCGACTGTACACGTTTTACTGATGCTTTGATTTGCGTGTCTGGAAAAGTTCAATGTCTCGCTGATGGATGGCAATCAGAAGGGCTTGACGCAGTCATGCCCATCTGCCTACTTTGCATTCGTTTGACGATTTTGTATAACAACTGACTGCACGGGGCAGTGCAAAAGAACTCCAGTGGTGTGGTGTAGAAATTCACGGGGCTACCGTGACTCGAGTCAGGGGATACGTACTAGGCAGGAGTGGTAAGGGGAGTGTGCCAAGGATTGTTTGCGCATGTTTGCGAAATCTATTCCCTTAAGCCGTTGCTGGCAACACGTTTAGCAAGACGACTCCAATTTTTCCGGCGCCAGTGCCAGCGTAAGAAGGAATGTTCGCGGTGCGTGCCTTCGAGCAGTGGATCTCGTTATGTGTCGCGTGTGCCGACGTGCGACTCCTCTGCGAAAGCACTGCCAATATTGCCATGCCCTGTAATACGCATACTGGTGTTGGTTTTTGATTATTCTTTGCATACGTTCGCCTTGAAGAGTGGGCCTGGCGGGGAATCTTTCTCCGCCTGTGAAAGCCAGCGGTTAATCGACGACGCCTACGGCGAATCACCGACGTCCCCTGCCTTCTGGAATCGCCCATGTGGTCGAGCGTTGCGGCAAAAGCTCCGCCAAGCTATCGGACCATGTGGTCCCCCAACCGTTGTGGAAACCCGTCGGGGAACACTTGGGGTAGGATGGCGGGGAATATCAGGAGGAGGCGGAGGAGGAGGTGGAGAAGGAGGGGGTGGATGAGGAGGAGGAGGAGGAGGTATCTTGGGAGCCCCTGGGGACACTCTTGAGGCCTCCTGGGAGTTTCCTGGGAGCCTCTTGGAGGCATCTTGGGGGCCTCTTTGGGCCTCTTGGGAGGCGTTGGGGGCTTCTCGGGGGCTTTTTTGGCTGTCTTGGTGGGCTCCTGGCCCGTCTGACGCCGTCGGAAGCCGTCTTGCGGGTCTCTCTGGGCCGACTTGGGGCCCTTCTGGGGTGCTCAAGGGCAGTCTTGGAGGCCATCTTTGGCGTATTGGAAGTCTCTTGGGCCGTCTTGGGGCCCTCTTGGGACCGACTTGGGGGCCCGGGAGGCCTCTTGGGCGATCTTGGGGCGACCTGTGGGGGCTTTTGGGCCGTCTCGGGCCGTCGGTATGCCGAAAAGAAGCAGATGCCAAAATCCATCAAACACCCAAGGAAAATCGATGAGTTTGGCCTCTTCGGGCCTTCCTGGATGCCCTCTTGGAGGACTCTTGAGCAGTCTTGGGCCACCTTCGAGCCATCTTGGGCAGTCTTGGTGGGCTCCTGGCCCGTCTGACGCCGTCGGAAGCCGTCTTGGAGGCCTGTGTGGGCCGATTTGGGGCTCTCTCGGAGAGCTCCAGGACCGTCTGGAAGGCTTCCTTGGGCGTCTTGGATGCATCTTGGGCAGTCTTTCGGCCCTCTTGGGGGGGCCTCTTTGGCAGTCCTGAGGCAATCTTAGAGGCCTCTTGGGCGCTCTGGGTGCCCTCTTGGGGGCCTCTTGGGCCGTTTTGGGCCGTCGGAAGGCCGTTAATGAGCAAATGCCAAAATCCATAAAAAAAAACCCAAACTTACGGATAATCAATGAGTTTAGCTTCTTCGGGCCCTCCTGAAGATCCTCTTGGACGCCTCTTGGGCCGCCTTGGAGGCCTCTCGGGGGCCTCTGGGGCCGTCTTTGACTGTCTGGGAGGCTCCCTGGCTGAACTTGGAGGCATCTTGCACTCTCTTTGGCAGTCTTGGAGGTCATCTGGGACCATCTTGAGCGAAACTTGAGGGCCATCGTAGCCGTCTTGGAGGCCATCTAGGGC